CCTGCCTCACACGCAGAATCCCACATCACTGACTGCAGAGATGTGCACGTTTATCCAGCCTCAACTCCGTCGACATTCCCTCCCTTCTGTCCCAGGGGCCGAGGGTCCCTCCAGCTTGTGCCCCTTTTGAGGCCTGTGCACATGCTGAGCTCCCACACTCCTGCCTCCCCAGCCTTCAGGCTCCCAGGAGGCCGCCAGCCAGGGCTCACCTGATGCGGCCACCTGCGTCCCCGAGGGGGTGGTGGGCTCCATGGAGTTAGCACACACCTGACAATTGGAAAAGATGGAAGAAGCCACCTGGGGACAGCAACCCTGGCTTCAAATCCTGCTGGGGGCCTTGGGCAAGTTGCTCCTCCTCTCTGAGCCTCCGTTTCCCCCGCATAAAATGGGGCAGTGACCGCAGCTCCTGGAGGGGAGGCTGTGACCACCACACTTGTCAGCACATGGAGTGCCCCTGGAATTTACAAGGGGAGAATCCAGGGGACATCTAAACGCCTTTCCACACACAGGCACTGAGAGTGACGACGCACAGCGGCGGGGGTGCAGCATGGCTCACGGAGACGGAGCAGAGTGTTCCAGGATCTAGCAGACAATCTTAATGTCAGGAAATGTAATCATATTTTACTAGCTCTGAAGAGAATCAGTAAAATTACATAGCTAAATAGTGCTCGAGCAGAGTCTGGGAGCGCCGGCATGGAGTGGATAAGGGGATAATGTGCCGAAGAGGGGATTTACGCGCCAGGAGAGCAAACACTGCCCATGTTTGGTGCAGGCCGATAACAAGAAGACAAGCCCCAAATTAAATAGATGTGAATGAATTCCTCCGCTTGTAGACAGAGCAAATGTATCGGGAAAAATGGCTAAAGAGCAAGCGGCAAAATGTTAACATATCAGAATGAATTCTGATGCGGGGAGCCACGATTCAGGCAGACAAATATTTCAGGAAATACAGGTAAGAGGCACACAGGAAAATCATAACTTTGACCGAGTTCCAGTGTCATGCTCACAGCCGAAGTGAAAACAAATATTTCACCAAGTATCCGTGTGAGATGGGACAGGGGAGGAACTCGGAGGCAGGGCTATCTGGGAAGAGCCGTTGCAAAGGGGGTTGGCAAGTGACTGAGGTGGCTGGGCTGCTGCCTAATATATTCACAGAGTTGAGCAAACATCACCACCATCTAGTGCCAGAACATTTTCATACCCAAACTCCATACCCATTAGTGGCCACTCCCCATTCCTCCCATGTCCCCATCTGCAGGCAGCCACTAATCTACTTTCTGTCTCTATAGATTTGCCTGTTCTGGACACTTCACATAAGTGGGATCATAAAACACATGGCCTTTTGTGTCTGGCTTCTTTCACAGGGCATAGTGTCTCGTAAGTTCATCCACGTTGTAGCATACGTCAGGACTTCATTCCTTTTTTATGGCTGAATAATATTCCACTGTGCGAGTGTACCACAACTGGCTTCTGCATTGATCCATCGATGGACACTTGGGCTGCTTCCGCCTTTTGGCTATTCTGCATAGTGCAGCTATGAGCCAGTATCACTTGCCACTGTCTCCACGGCTGCTTGCCCCTGGATGGGGGCGGAGGGACAGTAGCTGCTCTCTAAAGGTGGACATCGACTGAAATGGACTGCAATTTACCAGCTTTTTCATCAGGCCGTTCCCTGGAGGTTGAAAGTGGTCTACTAGGCTCCTGAGTTCCAAAATAGTTGCTTAAGACAGTTCCTTTGAGCTCAATCATTGTTCAGTGGACGGATGGATTCCTGCAGCTTCCCACTCCACCATCTCCACTGCCATCATCCTTGAGCCCTTTGGTTTTGAGCCACAGGCTACAGAGTGAACATTTTATGATGACATGGGGTAAGGAATCCAGTGTGAGCTCCCACCGCATGGGGCAGGATGGAGCACGCCCCTGGGCACTATCCAGGTGGCTAGGGTTCTGGTGCCAGGCTGGGCTCTGTCACTGATCACCGCATGACAATGCCATCTCATCTGTGAGCTCTGCCTTGGCCCTGCCTTGACCTTGTCAGTGGTGTTTTGGCTTAGACTCCATGCCTGTATTTCCTGAGTGAGAGCAGCAATGGAGACGTCTGGTGTTTGTGGTGAATGTCAGGTGAGAGGTTGCACGGGAGAGTCAGCCCGTGAGCTGACCTGACATTTTGGTGCTCAATCACTTTGCCAAAAGTGTGTGTGATGTGGATGGTTATCAGCCTTCTCCATTATCAGTGCACAGCTGGTGGTACTGAAGTACCCCTCTCCCCCTGCCCCTAATATAACTTCATTAGAGGGAGGTCACTGGGCAGGGGCAGATAAGATCAGCAGGATTATCCTGAAAATGAGCTGAGCACAGTACTGGCTCCTGATGGTGAGGGTTGGGGTCAGCTCTTCCCACCTTCTCCAGAACTGTGTGTCAGCTGGGAGTGTGCCACCAACATTGACCGGCGTGTGCACCTGCCCATGGGGCAGGACCATGCCTCCTGACACACGGTGCCTGAGCAGAGGCTGAGGACTGGGAAGCTAGGTCCAATCCTGGTAATCAGGTGCAGATGCTCTTGGGGGAACGCAGCCCAGGTAGAGGAGAGAATGTAGCATTAAGGGGGTGTCTGCATGGAAAGCAGGAGCCACGGTGCTGGGCAAGGGCTGGGTGTGGTCCTAGGGGATTCTGGGGGCAGGGCAGGGCCTGGAGAACAAGTCTCGAACCAACCATCACCAGCCTGGAACCTGAGGTCAAATTTCTCACATCACACATGCTCCTTCCTTCATTCAATAAAGACACATTAAGAAGGCAATGTGGGGGACATGGCAGGTGGTTGCAATGTGGCAGTCAAGATCACCAGCAACGAGTGCAAGAAGAGGGAGTTGTAGCCAAATCAGTGCCTAGCCAGGCACATGCTGCCAAGCCACCCTGAGGAGGAGGAGGAGGGAGGCTGGGTGCAGGGGGAGGGACAGGTCCCCATGAGCAGCATGCAGACGACCTAGAGCTCAGAGGAGTTGCCTGCAGAATGACCAGCAGGGGTGAGAGGTGTGGTGGGTGTGGCCTGGGGCCTGGCCACTGAGGGCCAATGGGGCAGGCTGTGCCATGCAGCCTTGTCCAGACGGCAGTGGGGAGCCCCTCAAGGGTTTTCAGGTGGAGAGAAGTTCATCTATGGAAGGCAAATGGAGGAGTCTGGTGGTTATGGCCAGCCGCTGAGGCTGGTATACCCTTGGTGAGCTAAGTCTCTGAGGTGCCAGAGGGCTCCTGAGCTGCTGCCTCTGGGCATCAGCTGACGTGCCCCTTTTGTCTCACCATTTTTCTCTTCAACTCCAACAGGAGGAAGAGGGGCAGAAAAACTGTGTCAGGCAACTCCCTCCACGTAAGCCGTGGTGATGGTGTGCTCCAGGGGACATTAGCAAGGTCTGGGGGAGGGGTGCTACTGGAATCTGGTGGGTAGAGGCCAGGGGTGCTGATAAACATCGTGCAATGCACAGGAGCGCCCCACAATAATTATTTGGCCCTAAATGTCAACAGTGCCAAACAAGTCAGGGTGTCCAATGCACCAAGATGCATGGAGCACCTGGTGAACAGGTGGGCAGGGGGTGAGGCAGGGAGGGAGGCTGCCACCCAGTCACATCCAGCACCTGTGGGGGTGCAGGAATGTCCTCAGGAGATGCACGGGGGGGCTGAGGGGTGAGTGATGGGGACCTGCGCACTAGGGCAGGCAGTCAGCGTAAATCCCTCCCAGGAGGCAATATCTGGGCTCTGGCAGCAGGCCACTCACGATGTTGGAAGGAAGGGCATCCAAGGAAGAGGGGCAGAGGGTGGGAAGGCCCTTAGGAGTGAAGAGAGGCCCGAGGGAAGTGACAAAGCAGGTGGCTGTGCTGTCAGCCCCAAGGGTGGCACTGAGTGCCTGCGGGGGAGGATGGGAGGGGGTTTGGAACCATGGGGGCTGCAGGAGTTCCAAGGGGAGCCTGGAGGTCCGCGGCTGCCTGTTGAGTGGGCGGTGGGACTGGGAAGACGGGAGACGACAGGGGTTGGGCAAGCTCCTACGGGGCCTGCTTCCCACAATCGCACCTTAGGCCCGGGGAGAGGGCGGATGGCTTCCCAAACGCCCCTTTAAATGAGAGGAGAGGCGGGACCGCCTTCTGGCCTTCCTGGATTCTCCGCGGCTTCAGCTGCGAGTCCATGCAGCTCAACGACCAGGGAGGAGCCCAGGTGTACAGGTGTGCCCTGGCGCCGACCGGCGAGCTCCGGACCCACCTGGCCAGCTGGGGGACCTGGGAAACCTGGGAGGAAATCCAACACCTGATAGCCCGCCCAGTCCCGGGAGTGCGAGATCTCCTGCGGGGAAGGCGGAGCTGAGGTGGGCAGCCAAGGAGACAGGGTCTCGCTCGGGGGCGTGGCCACCGGCTGAGAAGGCCGGTTTCAGGCTCACCTGGGGTCTCTCGGTGGGCGGGGCCTACCACGGGAGGCACGCTGTTCCGGAACGCGAGCCGGGCCACTCTAGAAGAGGGCGTGGCTCAGGGCGCGGGGCGGGGACCCCGAGGAGCCAGCGAGGGTGAGAGCGGGGCGGG